GCGTGTTCCGTTCCTCATCGACGTTCTCCTAAGCCAACTTCAAGTTGTTCGAGTTCTCGGCCAAGCAACAACCCACACGAATCGGCAAATATTCACAAGCACTGCCCTTGATCCACGGGATGCGCAGAATTGCGCGGCAAGTATATCACTTTCCTTACATTGATTTCAGAGTAGGTGGCCTTCAGCTGGGAATCCATAAACCACCAAACTTAGGGTAACTTGTGCCCTACTCTCAATCCACTACTAATAAGGTCACAAATGGGCAATGCCTTCAATCACCTGAAACCAAACTCCCAAGCCCCGGATTGGAACTTGATGGAGTTCTCCGGTCCGTTCTTTGGTCCCGAACTCCATGACTGTTGAACTCCGAACTGCTTGGATTGTCCAGGAACCTGGAAGGGTTCCAACATCTCACCAGTTTGCGGGGATGTTTTGCGGGAAGATCAACACACCCAAACGCTCTATGCCGATGTGTTGGGGTTGTGCCAGCATGGTTTAGTTGATGGCCTTTCACGTCTTAGTTGGGATTATGTTCATTTTTAGATTCCATGTTGCACATGTTTAAGACACTCTCCCCCACTATTATATAGAACATAATGAGATAGATCCTCACAGCAGAGTTAGAAGATGAAGCCCTTCAACGTTGGCACGTTGTTTTTTTGGGTGAGTTCGTGCGCTTAGAATTCAACTCAGTTCAGTTGCAGCATATTTCTGTCGATTTGTTTCTGGCTGGGTGGCCACTCGGCCAGGGCTCGGTGGAGCAGCTCCGCAGCCCCCATGTGGCCCCTGAAGATTGACCGCTTCCAATCACCGCGATGGTGACTCCCAGCCGTGCCCCGCAAGTCGCTGGACCTGGGGACCCCGGGGCGTCCGAGTCAGTCCAAGTGTCTCGCAGGAGAGGGCGATATCATTCCTTCCATATCGTCAGTGAGGACTGCCGTGCGCAACGCCAGTGGCACAGGGCGCCCGCAGGATCCAACCGAGTTGTTGGTCGAAAGGTTGTTTGGAGCCCTTGGTTTGACACGGCCATCCACAAGCCCCACATTCATTCTATGTGTAGGAGTCCGGGGACTTTCATTGGCATGCCCATTGAGACATGCAAAAGACAGATTCGATGAAAACCTTTCGATCTCAACTCTTAAGATCAGGTTCTAGCAGCCGGTTGGAGCATTCTAGCAGTATGGTGACCCGGCAAAATATGGATGGAACCGTCGTTCCTAGGCCCCTCTGACTCGTCGCGCACGAAGATTCGAAGACCCACCGCTTCCACCGGCGACCAGGAGTTCGAAAAGAACGGGCCCACGCGATTGGAGAAGGAACAGAAGTGCCTTGGCTCAGCCAGTGCCCTGAACTCAGTCACGACTGACTAATTAGAGTTCTTTTGATGACCAGCTGTCGTGATCAGCTGGAGCTGTGGCTCCAGCTGTAGTGAGTTTGGAACCGCAAGAAAACATCCTCCAGGTACAGGAGCTGATTCGGTTGTGCGTTTGATCTCTTTTGCCCCATGGATGATTGCCCAAGCGGTGGTGAAAAAAAAACCGCTCAGGTCCTGGTAGGTGATCCTTTTTTGTGGATCCTTTTCCGAGAATTCTCCATGTGTTCAGTTCCAGAAGTATTTAGTTGCGTGTTGAACGGTCCACACCTCATCCCCTTAACTGCAGGGTGGAGTAGTGGCCCGCCGGAGCCGGAGATTGAACCCGATAGCCACTTGACCATACCGGCCCTCTCCAGAAGCATTGAGCAATGTCTTGGTGTTCCTTCTTGACACCCCGGACCCTAAGCCAAGGAACACATTGTTAAAAGCCTCAGGTTGATCCCATAGCTTGGAATATCATCGCCAGCCTCCTTTCAGTTGCAAAAACGTGCAGAAATCCATAGAAAATCAGATTAAAGTCAGTCTCCAAACCAGACCCAGCACGACCCCCACTGTTTGTAAACTCCTCGCATCGCACCGGGGTCCTTCCAATCTGCGCCGAAACCTTCGCTGGAAACCGAACATGCCATCGGCCGCGTTCGGCGATGAACGCCCAGGTTTGCGGTGAAGTCCGCACTGATCAGCATGGCGATGCTGATGTTTAGCTGTATGTCCTTTGCGCCTGGGCTTGAACTCGTAGCAAGTCATGGAAGGTGCGTCATGGAAGCATGGAGAAAGAGATATGTTTGAAACAAAATGTAACTAAACTTGTAGTATAAGGTAGTATAGGGTAATAAGTATGTATAAGGACAAGTTGTTGTAAAGTCGCCAGAAACCAGAAGCCAGGGCACTTGTGAGCACCACCAAATCACCATTTAGGATAGACCATGAGGCAGGCATGGTTTAAAGAAACACCATTCAGTATCATGTGGATTCACTCGCCCTGTGGATTTGCATGGAACGAGTTTTCACACCCAAGGATGTAGTCGCACGTCCGCTGATGGCACCACAAAGGTGTGAGTGGAATCCGGAATTCCGATGTCATCGAATTCGGGCAGACGTGGTGCACAAAGCGTAGCTCCTCGATTTACTTAGATCTACTTAGCCAACTAGATCACGGTTCCCAGTGTGGTACACAGATCGGATGTTCACTGCCCCCAACGGCCACTGCCCTACACGGCCGGCCCAGTGCAGCCCAGGCGCTGCCGACCATATTCAATTCATATCCTTCAGATGACAGCAAGTCCGTACTCAAGGCAGGGATTCTTGGTGAGTCATCCCGCACCGGCCTGTCAGTATTTGTGAAGGTAAACCATGGTCTGGTCGTGGGTGTAGACCAGACCTGGGGGGTGATTTTCATGTATCTATTCACCTGGGAGAGAGCTTTGACATATATATATATATATATATTCACTACATGGTTCCGAACTGAGGGGTGACCTCACTTTTGCACCCAAAACATATGCAACACGCATCACATCCCATCACCCAAAAACATTTAACAACAGCTTGGTCATCAAACTGAGTGCACTCAATGGAGCTGACCTTCACAAAGTGTTGACGAGCGCAAGCCCATGCTTATGCAAAAAACAATGAGTGGTGCAGCTGCGTGGTGTGTCCATGTAATATGTTGCACCAAGCCTTATTAGCCAATGTGGCCACACCTGATGTCCCGGTCTTATTCTTCTTCTTCTTCTTCTTCTTCTTCTTCTTCTTCTTCTTCTTCTT